CTATGCCGATTTGCGCTCCCCAGATCAACCCCGCTGACGGGTGATTGCTGTGGCAAAAAGATCGATAGAAATAGCTGAGAGACGTGCGAAACAAAGGACCCGCATGGTGTGGTGGTGAACGCGTTACTCCCCGGAAAGGATAATAGCGCGTTCGTTCCCCACCATAGACACCTGCGGTCCAGAGTTTTGCAAATATCTCAGCAACGTTGTGGTTATATATTCCTTTTTACATCAGATTTGACAACTAGGAAAGGAAGATTTTTTCAAATATGCTTCTAAGTAACACTTATCTTTTCGTAGTTGAGCGTATTCCGTTGTGAAGGAACGGAAAACGACAGTATCTTCGACAATGACGACTACGATCTGAAACCAAACAACCCTCGTTATGATTTTATGGATTCTCAGAGGTAACCGCAGATTTGTTTTTCATTGCTTTGATACTTATTTTCGGCTAATTATTCTTTGAGAACTAACTTTTTAGAAATTTTGTTGACTTCATAAAAATTGCTGTATTTCACTATGGCCATTGGGTGACCCTAATTATGGTGCTGATCGCAGGCATAGGAGGCACGTCTCTTTTTGCACTGGGTGAGCTTCATTGGTTTTATCTGGTATTTTCATTTTCCTCTCTTTTGCTAATCATTTTACAAAAATTTTTTTCGTTTGAAGAATTGTAATCCACGCACAGTAAACAATAATGCTGTTAAAGTTTTAAGGCTCTTCATTCCTTATCTACGTTTTTCAATAGGTTTCATTTCGATTGTTGTTCAGTATTCATCTATTATCCATCTGGATATTACAGGATATATCATGATCACCTTCTGGATCTTATGGCAGGGCAATAACTTGTATGTGATGAACCCCCTATCGAACAGTTTTAAGAGCACGTTAGCGAAATGGAAAACTTTGCTCTCTTACACTATATTCACAATGTTTTGTAAAGTGGCACTTCAGGTAAATTTCCGTTAATTTACACACATTTGTAAGAAAGATCAGTCAGCTGTTTTTACCGATCATTTGTAATTTCAAGCTTGTTGGATGTGTTTTTGTGGAATGGTTTTTTGACGACGGAGGTATAAACAAGTCGATGAGGTGTACTGTTCGACAGTTGTTCAGGTAAAGAGAGGTGTAGAAAGACAAGGGATGTGAGAAAATGTCTCTTTGAAAAAATCACTGAATATTACTTCATTCCTTTTCCTTTTTTAGTGTTGCCTGTGTAAATTCTGTAGTGCAAGCTCGAAAAGATGAGGGAACAGGACCTCTCTTTCCTCATGGTGCGTTTCGATATTTTTTGTCACTTTACATTTTTTTCTTTTTTCGAGCGATTTTCTGCATTTCTGCTAATGTTTAATTTTCTAGAAACGGATCTGGATCGAGTATGCTCAGTTGTCCCTCACGAGGCACAAATCGGTTTTGATGCAATAGCACTTGCATTCCTTGTTTTCCAAATTCGTATATTCCATACGTGGTTCTTCCAGCATTGTATGGTTGAGTATCGGTCCGAAATCATTCTAGCAAACAGGTGCGACGTTTTGAGCACTTTACTTATTTTATTTCCTGATGAGGTAGCAAAGCTAGTTTTTGTTGAGGATACTATGGTGTTGCAGGCTCACTATAAGCCATGTGTGTTCCAGTCGTTTTATTCAATCAGTGTTTTTAGTTTGAGCTATCCTCTTGTTATGCTTTTTAGAAATATGAAAAAAAATTACTGCATTTTGCTGTTAATCAGGCGACCGGTATGTCACTTCATTAGTAGTGACAGCGAAATTTAAGAATGCACCCTTTTGAAAGGTTGGAAAGGCAGAGATTTAGTATTGCATTGAAGGTTGCCTTTAGTGATGACTTTAAGTGTACCGAATTTCATAGGTATAGCAACATAGGCCTGGGGTCCGATCCTTGCAAATATTTCAGCATCATTGTAATTGTATTTCACATAATGACTTCCCAGAAAGAAATAATAGGCAATAAATAAAGGGTTAAACATTATAACAACATATTCGGCACCAAAATTATCACACAGAAACCAATGTTGGCTTTTCGACAGCTACCGATAGTTTATAAATCACTATGGCTATAGTTGAGTGAGATATTTTCACAAACTTTTAAAATGCAATTTGTTACAACCACAATGATGCAAAACTCCGGACCGCAGGTGTTTGCGTTGGAGAACGAACGCGCTATTACCCTTTCCGGGACTAACGCATTCACCACCACACCATACGGATCGTTCGCTTCGCCTGTTTCTCTGCTTGCTTTCTATCTACCAAATCAACGCCATCTAAGCCTCTCACCCATCCAGGGTCGGAAAATTGGTACCGGACTTGTCCGGGAAAAAACTGCAGTCAAATTGGGAAGGCTCCAGCCCGACTATCTCAGGACTCTAGGGAGAATTGCTCGACCAGCATTCTACGACAGACATTCAAGATAAAATGAAAATCCTCAAGCAGCAAGCGAAGCCACACGTAAAAGTTGAAAGATCTTCGTGAACAATGGATGCGAGGAAACGAATCGAATGTGAGAAGTGCTGGGATCCGCACAGTAGACCTGAAGGCGGGTTATGTAGAATAAAAGAAGAGAAAAGTTTAAAATTCTTACCAGAAATGTGTCAATCCAAAATGGCCACTATTTTTTCACCAGATGTGTTGTTCTCAAAACTTTTCTTGCATCAGAAACACTTCACTTTCCGGCGAACTTCATTTTGATATCTTTTTTTCAGAGGAGCAGTGCTGAAAAACCAACTGATCGAAAAGGAGATGAAGGAGCAGAATGATCAGCAAACGGCGAAGTTTAATGAAATCCGTAAACGAACACAAATGATTCGTGAAAGGTATGAAGTTCCGATGATCGTCGTTTTTCATTTATGGTTTTAAAGGCTGCTGAACATAAACACCGTGTCATTTGCAGGTACAATAAGCAAATGGAAAAAGGTGTTAGGATCTTTGAGCCTCAAACTTATGCACATGGTTAGCTATATTTTTCTAAATCAAATCTAAAATTTCCCTCTTCTCTATGCTTGACATATTTGTTTTTGTTTTCATTTTTGCTGTAACGAGGTTAATTTTTTCTTCTCCTTTGGACGTAGGTATACGATAGTGTCTGCGGATTCTTTCCTAATGGAGCTGCGTAAATAAAACTCTCTGTTACTGTTTTTGGATGTTGTAAAAGTAAAGCTATGATTATTCTTAGTAATATTCACCTTGCCGGTGATTTTAAGAGGCTTGAACTAAAAGATTTACTTATCCCTGAAACCCAATTGATCAGCACAACTACACTTTCGAGAACACCATAACGCGTTGTTGCTTGCAGTAATGTTATTCGTGGCGTGCTCATAAGGCTGTCTAATATGTTAGTGGCTTGTCTTTCAATACTACCCATTTGCGCAGTTTCGTTTTACTACAAATACTATGGGAGAAATATCTTAAAAAGATGTCCTGTGTCTGCCACCTACTGACCTTAAGCTTCTGTTAGTTTTTTCCTTTCATAAGACGGAAAAATGGTTTCCAAGTATGATGTGGTTATCCGGCTGGAGATCATGTCTCTTTACTTTCCTATGTCACTTATTTTATTGGGATAAGTGCTGAAAAACATGAAGAAACTCTGTATTGTTGGGCATTGATGTTAAATAACGATGTGAGCTGAGTAGTAAGCTTTAGTGGTGATTGTGTGTTGTCGCTTAATTGACACAAAATTTATCGTGTCAGAAGTTAACATTGATAACGACAACATCGACGATGAAGGTTATTTCCTCTACTTCGACATGCCATTGCAAGGCGACATTGCCAGCACAGAGATCGACTTGCAGCCGGGTTCGATGTCCTGCGTTTAGAGCTTCTCGCTTTGTATCTGACCTCTTGGTCACAGTCATACTTTGATCCGTGAATGATGACAAAATATCTGCAAAATGACTTCTCATCGTAAACAAAAGTGCTTTTTCTGTGGGTTCTGTCATGCACATCGAAGTATGTCTGTGTTAGTAAATAACGCTTTAAAAGTGCAGCACGTTTTCCACATAATTTTAACACATCCGCGACGAGGCAAAATTTTCGGTAGCTTCCGGATAAGGGGTTTTGCGCACCGAATTTTAGTCGACCTGATTTTTCGTAGTTGACGGTATGCATTGAACTAAATACGTAGCTACCATTAGAGCACTGCTCTACGCGACGGGCATTAAGTACACTTCCAATTGGTATTTACTTTATGTTACCCTATCTGTGCAGTGGCAAAGAATAATTATCGCATCCTATTTATTGATTTCATTAGCAGCTGTTTTGAAATTTTAGTATATTAGTGTAGAAATCAATACTACCCGTGGGACTTAGGGAGAAGAGAGAGTTCCTTAAAAAGTACTTCTTCTTTTGTAAATTATGAGTCTCACTCTGTAGAAAATAGCCTTCTTTCCTTTTTGTGGAATGTTTAGTGCAATATACATGTAGTTGGGAAGCACAGAAGAATAAACGTACCACAAAAAATAAGCTGCGGAAAAAACAATGAGAAAGAAAATGCATTGATATAACTATGTATAGTCCACCACGCTTGCCTTCTGCTCCGTTCTAGTATGAATTGAAATCAATGCATATCGTCGCGGATGTGTTAAAGCTTTTTTCTTCGATGAAAGCGATAGTTGCTTGAAGCTAGCTAAAGCTAACATTACTGCTTTCCATTTTGTCATATTTTACTAGTAATTTCCGAACTTTACTAGATATGTGAACAGGAAAATAAGCTTATACACCATCAACTTGAAGTGCTTAGAGTGTACTGTTGAATAAATACAGCACTGTTACATATTTAGTAGCTGCTCTGGAGCCGTCATGCTTCATTGGAGAGGTTGACTTCCCTTCTTGGTTTATGTAACCAAAAGGGTTACCTTATTGTGTTTAGAATGCTAGAGTTGCTATTCCGATATACCTTAATCACTGTAGTTAGATTGTTTATAAAATAGAGTCCACGCCATGACCGTTTCAATATTCATAATTCGTGACTGGAGTGGTGCGTGTGGCGCAGTGGTCGGAGGCGCCTGCAGCTCACACGTGGAATCGATCTCCACGCCCATGGTCCACCAAGTCTTCCATCCTTTCGGAGTCGGCAAATTGGTACCAGACTTGTCTGGGAGGATAGCGGCACTAGGTCGATATATCGGTAACCCACTGCGAGTCATTGTAAAGGCCAGATGTGCATTCAATCATCTCCAACGATACTTAATGAATTCGAATGTAGGCGCATTCCTCAGGGATTGTTCAACGCCAAGAGCTTTATCCTTTTTTAAATTCCGGACCTACTTTTTTTTCCATAGATGGCATGGAACCTGTGACGTAGTTTGCCTTCGAGCATGTCGCCGTTGATGCAGCAATTACAATAAGCATCATTTATCAACAACATATAGTTTATACCTACCAAATTTGGTTTCACTAGAATTTTTGCGATCGTATATTTTTTTTCGCCAACCTGAGATAGAACCCTTCCCGCTGTTTCGCAGGTCGTCGAAACAGGTAGTCTTTACTACCCCTTGGGTATCGTAGATCTACCGCTGTGAGCCCGGTTTTCCTCCAAGACGGCGGCAGTCATTGTTATAAGTTTACTGCTAATATGCTTTCTAGGTGGTTTTTTTGAATTCTTTACCATCTGCGGCAAATCCTGCCAAGTAATTAACCGCTTACCTGTAACCATTTCAACACCCAAAGCATAACCTCTTCATTAGGAAGTGAATCATTGAGGGTGACGTGTAATTCATATGCACGCATAGTGGGTCTATCTAAGAAACGAAACATAAACCATTCGGCTTTGATCATTCCATGTACCATCTATCCATTCGACTCCGTATTGTCGTACAAGTGGATAAGTGCGACCCAAACGATGACTTGCAAAGGCCTACCGTTGCGTCCAGCTAGTGTTACTGTCCTATCGTACAAGTCTAGGAAGAATTTGCTGACCTCGGAGGACTGAAAGGCTTGGTTGGCCCGAGAAGTGGGATCGAACCGATGACTCTAGGTGTATTACAGGAATCTCAAATCACTAAGGTGGACGATCACAGAGATATAACCACGTACCTGTAAAATTATTCGGAATGAGAAGTGATGACTATTGTTGGTTCATATGAAATAAATTCACGACATTATAGGTCATTTCCTGATGCGAATTCATCTACCGTATTACAAAGCGGGCTGAGTGGTGACCTGACGTAAGAACGTAATAAGCTGGAAAGGCAGCAGTAGGGTTTGAAATTCCGTAGATGTAGGAACTGCGCATGTTTAAAAGAAAACCAAAAAGCGATATGCGAATATCATGGGTAAGCCAGAAATTACTAAAGACAGAACAATTACTGGGGGCGAAATAGAAGAATTTTGTTGACTCGTCTTGTTTCTGATTTATACTGAATACTAATTTCTTGTCAAGATATTTTAAGGAGAAAACTTTTCAGTTTTTTTATAATATCTAGGAGGATGTTGGGCGAGTTTTAACCAAACAAGCGCAATCACATGCTCTAGTGTTTCGACTTTAGAACATAGTTGTACACACATAGACTGCCTGTATATGCTAGACCCATGCTTGAACGGTAGCTTCTTCAACTAGGCTCTAGGTTCCGTTGTTCTCTGTATGCATTGCGTAATATTGGGAGGGCCATGCGATTGTGAAATAGTATGGGAACCAACGGCTGCCATTGGTCGGTCTTTACAGTGGTTACAGTGGTTTATAAATGACGTGGAATGGTTAGTTTGCAGCTTAATTTGAGAGTTAGATGAAAGTAAAGTCACAATGAGCAACCAACCGAATGGACCACACAATTCGCTCAGTAGTTGTTTCTCCTTTGATGTGGTAGAGGAGAAATGTCCCTTTTTCGTTATCGAATAGTTAAAATTCACCATATCATTTATATTAACGAAGTAAAAAGTTCGACTGCTTCCAAAAATTTGTAAAAAAACGTGTTTACGCGGAAAATATATATATGAATGTGATTCTAACTTATTATTTACTGCCTATTCTTCTTACTGGCAAGGTATGTTGCGAAATACAACGTCATTGGTGCTGAGATATTCACAAAACTCCGGACAGTCGAGAAAGGTGGAGCGAAGGATCCGCATGGTGTGGTGGTGAACGCGTTAGCACTTGTAAAGGGCAATAGTGCGTTCGTTCACCACTGCAGACACCTGCTGTTCGGAGTTTTGCAAATATCTCATTGTCTTTGAAGTGGTATGAATATATTTTGCAAAAGAAGTATACAATAAAAAAATGAGGAAAATCTTCATGTAGTGTGTCAATAATCCCATCAATTGCGTCTGACTGAATCTTCTAACTTGAAACTGAATTACGCTTTGCTTTTTTTGCTATAGAAGTGCAGCTTGTTAACTTTCTTCCTTTAAGTTTTTCCTGGCAAGACTTACACAGCACCTTTAGTTCAGTGCAATTATTTTGTCTCCTCTGTGATTAGTTGATAAATCGTTGATTTGCAGCAAAACGTGCCGGGGACTATTACATGTTCGACTATGATCCTAACACGGATGAGTTGGTTAAACCTGTTGAAAGCTTTGTGCCTGAAGTAACACCAGGTGCTACGCGATTCGAGAAACTGGATCCAGGACAGGTGGGTTCTACCGCTGTTTTTTTTACCACGTGATATTTCCCATTTTGCCCTTTGTATGGTCCGCCCATCGTTTGTCATCATACTTTGTATTCCTAGTAGATCCCTGTTATCTTGGATTGTTTAGGATAATTGAGAAACATTTGTTTCCCGGGTGGCCTCATGATCCCTCATTTCACCCATCGTCTGCATGCCCTTCATATTCTTCGCCAATGATGTAGGAGCTTAAGGCACTGAAAGCTGTACTTAGAATAGTTCCTAGGGTGGAAGAGAAGTAAGAGGTCCTGGAAGCTTATTTAGATGTGGCTTTAGTGAAAAACAAGGATGGCATCCTCAACTGCATGGATTAAGGCCTTCATTTAGAATTTTTGGTAATACCTTATAACTGTTTAAAAATTTTCACTTCTCTTTTTTTTTATTGCAAGCGTTGTGAAATACTAAGTATAAGGAAGATTTTAGTTAGTGTATGCGGCAACAAGCCACGATCTAAATTTGGCGAGAACACTTGAACAGGTTAAAGAAGCCGAAAAACTCAAGGAGAATGAAGAGAGAATGATTCAAGCGATGAAAGATGGCGACAGCGAGGATGAGGTCTGTCATGAAATGTCGTGCATTCGCTCAGTTCTTTCAATCGTTATTCTTTTAAAGTATCCACAATTAATGTCACTGTTTGGCATTATCCTGTTGTTTTTTTCCTTTCGGTTCGAGTCAGAGAGAATGGGACATTTGTCCTGTTGTATTTGCCGCTCTCCTTTATTTTCGTTATTCGTTGTAATTTTTTAGATAAATACAGCAGTCCAACTCACAGATGCTGAGGAACGAGATTCATTGGGTGGGTGACTATCACGGCTTCATAATCGTGTCGTGTAGAACTTCATAGAAATCATCTTCAAGAGTCTTTATAATTAATTGCATTTTTAGAATCAAAATTGACCACGTGTCTACAATTTCTATTAAAAGTGACAATTAACGCTATGGACATGGTGAGCGCGTGGCTTAACCGACTTTCAAGAGAACATCGATATGTGGCCTATGTTCTAAGCAAGGAAAAAGTGAAACTAAAAGAAGGACACAGTGATGTATGTGACGAAGAATCTTACACGTTTTGTTCTTAACTGGCAGAATGTAATCGTCTCGTCTCAGGAGCTCTCAAATACCTCTCAACGGCTTACTGACTTACGGCAGAGGATGAATATCTCGGGACTGTTGTTGGTGCAAAGCGAAGGCGACATTCAGAAGTACGTTTTAACTAAGAAACGTCGAAATGCAGATGCAATTCTAAATTGTTTCTAAAACAAATGTTTGATTATGTAGTTCATCTAGGGAACTGTTGTATTTCAGAATTATCAAGTATAAGGTAGATTTACTTAATTTTTTAAAATATGAGATGGCATTCTTTTAGAAAATGTGTTTTATATGATTAACATTAAGGAGATTAGGGTCAAAGTAAAGTGCTTAACTGGTTACTTCTTACTAAACCTTTTTTAGGATGGAATCTGCTGCATTAAACGATTGGCAACAACAGTCTGTTTTGGCCAGATTCATGAATGCCTTAGGTAGTTGTATCGCAGCAAACACGGATCTTATCTGCTATTTTCTTGCCGTGATGGCTCATGCGAGTGGAGCTGGTTAGTCGGTACTCTTAACTGAATAGTAGATCTTTCATTGATCGGATAACAGAATGGTTCATAACTCGTCATTTCTCTGTAAAATCTCCCAAGTATGCCTTTTTTGAAGACATGACATGGAAAATTGAAAATGGGTTACTATAGAAAGGTGAAAGTCTTTGACGACTTTTTATATTATTGGAATAGGTTTATCGGAGGTGAACAGTTTGTGTAGTAACCACTCTATTTTATTACTTTATAATAAAGTTAGTGTTCTACATCTGTGATTTCCCTCGATATACTGTCATAGTTAGTGGTTCTTAGGTGTCATTACCCTCCCGTTGCCATTAATGGTATTCTTTTGGGGAACATTATCGAATCCTCGTCCAAGCAAGTTCTTCTGGGTTTCGATGATAGCTTACACAGAGTTCGTGGTAGGTATTTCCTCCGTACATTTTTCCGTCTTTGATGTTGCCAGATAATTGTGATGTAACCAGATTTTTTCCTTCAGCTGTGGTTACCATCACTTTAAACTGGATGTGCTTTTAGATTGTTACGAAATTCGTGTGTCAATTCACAATCTTCGATTTCAATAGTATTTCAACACAGTCGAAACAGGTGGCCAATCCGTTGACACCAGAAAAGGTTCAGTTTCTCGATTTTCGCCTTCAAGCTTTTTTTTTCCTGCAATGAGTTAAACTTCGTTGCTATTTAAATTCTCTATTTATGTGGATTCAATGGATAATAAGACGAAATTTTCCATTAAGGTGCTTGGAGTTCAACGGCAATCAAATTTTGCCGCATACGACGTTCCTTTATTGTTTGCTCTCTTCTTCCATAGATATATGCTAAGAAAACTTGGGCTTTGGAAGGTAAAGGTCTTATTCATGTCTTCTTAGAATCTTCCTGGTATCCTCAATAATTATGTAAACGTCATGTGTTATAGTGATAACTGTTGTTTAGGACGCCAACCTAACCGTGACTTTCCAGAATTTGCAACAACCAAATGAGGATGAGCAAGAGGTCTGTCTGAAAGTTTGGTCATTGAAATTTTATTTTTGAAAATATGATTCGCTTAATTTTTTTCCATATTCATCTGCGTTGGGTGCAGTCTATAACAAAATCTTTGGTGGAAAGAATATTCAGTGATGTGTGATAACGGGAATTTCGAAATGACTTCACTGTAATGGAAGTCGTGTTCCAGAACACAGGTGCAGCGCAGGAAGCAACGACGCAACAGTCGGAGATGGGTAGCTCAACAAACAAAAACATGATGAGACCAGTGGTAGAGAAAGCAAAACCATCAGTTGTGGTGCAGAATCCAAATGCGGCAGCACTCGTAGACGGGAATCTCTCTGGTGAGAACTGTTTCCTTATTTCATTGGTTTTGAGTGTTTTTCATTTTGAATCATTATAGAGGGGTTTTTTTCCTTCAGATGAAAAGCGTGCCGAAGCCGGGAGTGACGCAGGATCACAATCTTTTAAATTGGCACCACGTGCTGAAGCTGCAGTAGCTGATCCTGAAGTAGGCAAAAACCCTGTCACTCGTTTCATCTTGCAGCTTTTTAAACCAAAATTCCGCTACATACGGTATGTCAGAAGTTTTTGGAACTGTGCCGTTTGTGTATTGAGTTCAGTTCCAGTGATCTCTATCCGATCATGTTTGGACTAGATGTGGTGGCATTTATCATCATTGCTTTTGGATATTCCGCTTTCGGTGAAGGTGGGTCGGGCAATGTCATCGGTGACATACAAGTAAGTTCGCCAAGTTCTTCATCATTTCCGTTAAGGCTGTACCTGAATTTCTCGCTAGTTGTACCGTGAGTTCCTACAAATATTTATTACCACATTCGTAATGTACGAGTTTGAACGGTTCTAGGAAGAAGGTTGCACCTTAAATCATAAAATTTTGAAGCACTTTTGGTTTTAAGTATTACCAACAGTTATCGAAATGTCAGCAGCTTTGCGAATGTGTTACTAACTTGTCACTTACTTGGATAATTGGATGGCCCGTTTTCACTGGTTGTGCGGGCCCCAGCACAACATCCATTTTTCGGAGTTTTGCTGGTTTAGCCGTTTGTGGTTCCTTGGAGTCTCGAAGTTAGTCTGGCCAAAGTCTGCTCCAGGTCGTGACCACCACGGTCAATCACCACCCTTGTGGATCAGAGGAAGTTTTGCCGCCGTGGAACTATTTTGATGCTAGGGTACGGTGGTGGATCCTCGTATTGATTTACTTTGGGATTTCTGATGGAAACGCCGGACTCGTTCCCAGTTTGGGAGACCTTGTTGGGGCTACGTATCTCCCGCTGTACATTCGCAGCTCGACACCCAGGAACACTTCCCAGCCACGATAAGGCGGTAAGCCGCTTAGTGGTAATAACTTGTTAAAATGTAAATGTGAATTTGACTAAGCATAGGGTTAGTTACGGATTTCGAAACGTATTTTTCAAAACAAAACGTTAATTTCATCCACATCACGATGCTTACAGTCTAGTCGAATTCCACTCACATTTGTCGTAATGTTAGTGGTAATGACGCTCATGATTGTCATTGATCGCGGACTCTACCTACGCAAGTGCGTATATGGAAAACTCGCCTATCAGCTTGTAATAATTGTTTTCTTACATATCTGGATCTTCTTCATCTTGCCGCATCTAACGCGAAGGTACGTTTTAGTTCAGTGAAGGAATCTTTTCACTAAATTCAACTCTGTACATTCGGGATTCTAGAGCTGCTGCGGAGAATACTGTAGCTAAAGCACTGTATGTGGTAAAGTGTCTGTACCTGTTGGTGTCAGCATGGCAAATTCGAAATGGCTACCCTCAGCTGTGTATCGGTAATCTGCTAACACATGCATATGGCCTAGCCAACATGGTTTTCTTCAAAGTGTAGGTGTTACATATATCGTTTATTTCGCCATGTTTTCTCAGTTACTTGTTGAATTCTATGTAAACTGTTGTTTAGATTCATGTTGGTTCCGTTCTTATTCGAGCTTCGAACTGCAATCGATTGGACGTGGACCGACACCTCGATGCCACTCTTCGATTTCTTCAACATGGAAAATTTCTATGCTGTAATTTATAACCTCAAATGTGCTCGAACCTTTGAGCAAGTACGTTTTAGTTATTCATTGTTTCGTATAAAACCTCAACACTTTGTTTTAGAGTTATCCTGCTCCTCGTGGATTACCCAAAGGAGTCATCGTTAAATATCTCATGGGACTGCCAATGATTTTATTAATTGTTTTTCTTGTTTGGTCGCCGTTGCTGGCGTTTTCACTGATGAATAGAATAGGTAGGTGACTTTTATTTTTTTAGTGTACCAGGCTTCAATATCTAACTACTTGAGCACCATTCAGGTGATATTTCTATACCGAACCATGTTCGACTTACTATGTCACTTGAAGGTTATCCTGTCAGTTCCTTGTTTTCCATTATTTCATTATTTTATTAGTTAATTATGTTCTTCATGGTTAGGCACTTTACCAAATCGAAGCACAAGGTGCTGAGCTACGTTCGATGAAACCGGAAGAGTTGAAATATATCACAGATACTATGAGTCGACGGTAAGAACAATAACAAAGTTAGTAGTTGTAGTTCTGATATTGATTGCGTGCCAAAATTGATTTATTTGAAACTTATAGGGTGTGAAATTATTGCCACAAATGCTTTCTAAAGTCAGAGTTTTCTTAATTTATATTGATATATTGCTGTTATGGGATGCGCTTAGCGCATTTGTCAGAGGCGACATGCAATACAAATGGGATTGATCGCCGTGCCCATAGCCCACCAAGGCTTCCATCCCTCCGGGGACGGCAAATTGGTACCAGACTTGTTTGGGAGGATAGCGGTACTGGCTCGATACATCGGTGGGCCAACACGAGTCATTGTAAAGGCCAGACATTCGATTACGTCCAACGATGTTTGATGAAGTTGATTGCATGGTCCATCTCTCAGGGATTGATTAACGTCGAGAGTTTTAGCCTTTATTTAACCTTTTATATTATTGTGAGAGATTTTCCTGAAATTACACCTTACACATGTTATCTCAGGTATTTCCCATCATCAAATGGTACTGATTCGATGAAACGTTCACGGGATAGTGTTTCATTCTTGAAGGAATACACTACAAGCGATATATTGGTGATTACATTACATGTTTGTCTTTTCTTTTGGACACTATTTTCACGCATTCTGCTTACCGTGTAACATGACGTTTTTGGATAAGTTATTTTAGAGTTTATGTTGTATAGGTGGTCAACTTCCGTCCTGAATCATCAATGCCGTGGGAGATATCTGAGGAATCTTTAAGTGCTTTGATGTAAGGTTTTTTCGGTTTTATTGATTTTCTCATTATATTACTATTTGAACATATTGTCTTGTTTGCTTAAGTATACATTCACCTTTGAATCGGTTCAAGACAAATGCTGTTGACTTCTTGAGTTTGATTTCCACTCTAGTTTTACTAGAGTAAATCACCCCAAACTTTACGGAAACCTATAGCATGCTATTAGACTTGTTAGGAGTTCCACCGTATTGCAGTACTGCTTTGTCAGGTTCGTTAGCCTACAGGTAGACAGACAGGCTTTTCTGTCATTATGGACTGAGTTTTATAAGTGATCAATGTACCTTATTTCATTGATAGACTAACAAGAAGCTTTTACCACATATTTATTCGGCTAACGTTCCGTCTTTGTTTTTATCACTGAGGAAGTTCGACTCCATAAGACTACGAAAACGCCATATCGGAAAGGCGAGACTGTGAGCCATCGAGGAGGATCATCGGCTTTGTTGAAGACAAAGACTTGGTAATGTTAGCCCAATAGTTATGTGGTAACAAACTTATATTTGTATATCTATGAAATAAGGTGGGCTGTGCTAAGGTGACCACAATGGCATAAATTCTGAGCACTGTTATGTTACTGTCGCTGAGTGACGATCCAGTAGTTTATGCAGCTGTAAATTCTGCCTGAGTGCTTTGACCAAATGTTTTATTTTACATCCTGTCGTATTCATATCACTAGTGATATGTACTATTTATCGGAGTTATCACTGCTTTCAGCGATCAACTCAAAGGTGTCTCATCGATTCACTTCATTGTGGCGGTGGAATTCACACGACCTTATGATGAGAAGAAGAAAGAGGCAGCAACGCACAGCACACAGTGGACGCTGGCGCTTGAGCCAAACACAACATTACGAAATCAGTGGATAAATATCCTACAGAATCCAGGAGTTGGTGAAACGGTTAGTTTCAAATGTGCTTTACAGAAAGTTTCGTTCCAACATGTTTCAGCTAAAAGAGGTTTAGATTTCGCTGCCGGAAGCGTTTCCAAGCTACATGCTTGTGCCTAACGAAGGAGCGGTCAGTCTTCCAACACCTATTGTGGCAACGATAGTGTACAATCAAGACAACTATCAACGGCCGGACAATGCTTCCGACAAGGATTGGTTCGACACGTTGCGATTATCGTTAGTGAACTCATCAGTTGGGGTAAGGTTGTTGTGTTTGCTTGGCCTATGACCGTTTCGTGCTTCCCATTACTCTCGCTGTTGTTGTTGATAATTACTCTCATTATTTTTCATTTTTTTTAAAAATCTTTGACATTGCTGTTGCAGTTTGTTATTTCTATTTGTGACGGGTTATTCTTCTTATTATTATTATATGGAGCGGATAGCACAGTGGTAGTGATGTCCGTCATCACGAACATGGTGCTAGTTCGATTCCGCTCAAGGCCAACCAACTCTGTCATCCTTCCGGAGTCGGGAAATTGGTAGCGGGTTTGTCTGGTAAAAAGTCACTCTTTGTAATCCAATTGGGAATGCTCCAGTCCGGCAATGTCAGAACTCCAAGGAGAATTGCTCGACCAGCATTCTACAACATTCAAACTGAAATGGAAATCTTCAAGCAGCAACCAAAGCCACGCGTAAAATGTTGAAAGATCTTCGTGGACGATGGATGCGAGGAAACAAATCGAATGTACTGGGATCTGCACAGCAGACGTGAAGACGGCTCAAATAAAGTAAAAAATTGTTATTACTATTGCTATTATTATTACTATTATTATTATGTTTAACGTTTTGTTTTCTGCCTTCTATAATTTTCATGGCAGGTTACTAAGCGAAATACAACCACAACGTTGCTGAGATATTTGCAAAACTCTGGACCGCAGGTGTCTATGGTGGGGAACGAACGCGCTATTATCCTTTCCGGGGAGTAACGCGTTCACCACCACACCATGCGGGTCCTTTGTTTCGCACGTCTCTCAGCTATTTCTATCGATCTTTTTGCCACAGCAATCACCCGTCAGCGGGGTTGATCTGGGGAGCGCAAATCGGCATAGAACCCAGTTAAGCTATGGCTGTAGTTGAAATCACAATGTTTAACGTTTTGTTTTCTGCCTTCTATAATTTTCATGGCAGGTTACTAAGCGAAATACAACCACAACGTTGCTGAGATATTTGCAAAACTCTGGACCGCAGGTGTCTATGGTGGGGAACGAACGCGCTATTATCCTTTCCGGGGAGTAACGCGTTCACCACCACACCATGCGGGTCCTTTGTTTCGCACGTCTCTCAGCTATTTCTATCGATCTTTTTGCCACAGCAATCACCCGTCAGCGGGGTTGATCTGGGGAGCGCAAATCGGCATAGAACCCAGTTAAGCTATGGCTGTAGTTGAAATCACAATGTTTAACGTTTTGTTTTCTGCCTTCTATAATTTTCATGGCAGGTTACTAAGCGAAATACAACCACAACGTTGCTGAGATATTTGCAAAACTCTGGACCGCAGGTGTCTATGGTGGGGAACGAACGCGCTATTATCCTTTCCGGGGAGTAACGCGTTCACCACCACACCATGCGGGTCCTTTGTTTCGCACGTCTCTCAGCTATTTCTATCGATCTTTTTGCCACAGCAATCACCCGTCAGCGGGGTTGATCTGGGGAGCGCAAATCGGCATAGAACCCAGTTAAGCTATGGCTGTAGTTGAAATCACAATGTTTAACGTTTTGTTTTCTGCCTTCTATAATTTTCATGGCAGGTTACTAAGCGAAATACTATGCCGATTTGCGCTCCCCAGATCAACCCCGCTGACGGGTGATTGCTGTGGCAAAAAGATCGATAGAAATAGCTGAGAGACGTGCGAAACAAAGGACCCGCATGGTGTGGTGGTGAACGCGTTACTCCCCGGAAAGGATAATAGCGCGTTCGTTCCCCACCATAGACACCTGCGGTCCAGAGTTTTGCAAATATCTCAGCAACGTTGTGGTACTATTATTATTATTAAAGGATAAAGGATGACGCTCTCGGCGTTGATCAATCCTTAAGGGATACGCTATCCTTCGACTTCATTAAGTATCGCTGGAGGTGATTGAATGCATATCTGGACTTTACAATGACTCGCGGTGGCCTACCGATGTATCGAACCAGTGCTGCTATCCTCCCAGACAAGTCTGGTACCAATCTGCCGACCCCGAAGGGATGGAAGACTTGGTGGGCCATGGGCGCAGGGAATGATTCTACGTGTGTGTCGTAGTGGCGCCTCCAAGCACTGCGCCACACACGCCCGCTATTATTATTATTACATTATTATTACTACAACCGTTGTCGTTTCTATTATTAATGTTAGTATTGACATTATTATTATTATTGTTATTGTTATTATTATTTACTTACCTGGATGTTTGGACGGTCCGTCTTCACGTGTTGTGCGGGCCCTAACACATTTGCCATTCGTTCCTTTTCCTCGCAGTCGTCGTTCATTCCAGCATGGTGACGCCTGCGAGTCTCAGACCGGGATCAGTAAAATAACTGCAGTTGCATGTCCAGCTGGTTAACTTTGGTTGCGTCCATACTCGTGCAGTGCACTTTACGGTTCTTTTCGCTTTTGTCTGTTCTTCTTATTATATGGCCGACCCACCTATGTTTCGCTATCGATGAGTAGTGCCGTGGGTCTCGAAGATGGGGCAGACTTTGACGATCTTAACACCGCATTTTTTAAGTGCTCTGCCAAAGGAACATAATCATCCTAAAAAATGGGGAAGTACAGTAGGAAACGAAGATCTATCTAGACTTAGTATCTCAAGTTTTGCAAAAAACTATTTTCTTCTGTCTTCTATCTAGTTCCTCCTTCATCTTGTTCTTCATGTTCATTAATAGCCTGAAATATACTTCCGTGCAATCAGAAAATCACCAAGCTTGATCTGATTGGTTTCCCACTATGGGTTTTCGTGAACTGGGTCTTACGATTTATGCGTATTGCGGTTCTTTGAGCCCATTGATCATCGTCTGTGCTTCGCTGGTGCTTTTCTGAAAAGATGACGATGTCGTTGGTGATGCGAAGATTTGATGGGAATTTTCCATCAATACGTAGCCTTTCTCATCCCAATCAAACGACTTCACTGTCCACCGCAATGCGAAACTAAACGGTTTTTCGTTGTGGTATCACCTTGTCGAACCCCTTGAATGGCCTAACCAGCAAATGTCCGAGAAATGGAGATTGTGCTGGGGTCCGCACAACCATTGAAAACGGGCCATTCAAGTATCAAGTATCAAGTGAGTAATTATTACTATTATCATCAGTTATTATTACTATTATTAATTATTATTATTGTTATTAATTATTAATTACTTTTATTATTAGTTATTATTATTAACTATCATTATTAGTTATTATTATTATTAATTATTATCATTAACTATTATCATTAATTATTGTTATTAATTACCACTATTAATTATTGTTATTATTAAAGATTATTAATTATTATTTTTATTGTTATTATTGCTATTATTATTATTAGTTTTTATTATTATAATTAATTACCATTAATTTGTATTATTATTGTTATTATTATGCTTCACCTTTTACTTTCTTCCCCTACAATTTTCACAGCTGCGTACTAAGCGAAATACAACCACAACGTTGCTGAGATATTTGCAAAACTCTGGACCGCAGGTGTCTATGTTGGGGAACGAACGCGCTATTGTCCTTTCTGGGGATTAACGCGTTCACCATCACACCATGCGAGTCCTTCGTTTCCCCTGTCACTCAGCTAGTTCTATCAATCAGCTCCATCAGCAATCACCCGTCAACGGGATTGATCTGAGGAGCCCATGTCGGAATTGAACCTAGTTAATTTGAGGCTATAGTTGAAATTTAGGCTTAGAATGTTAGAGTTGAGTATTCATTATTACACATGACGTAAAAACAAAAATGTGAACAGTAAGCGGAAAGGCCATTTTGCATGACTTCTCACCTATTCAGAACGCTCATGTTGAATAGAAACCTTTATTTGACAAAATGTGCTGGTTTAACGGTCGCGGTTACTTTCAATCTTAAAGGTGGTAGGGATTACTTTCGATCTGAAACACGTAGGCGTAGAAACAAGCATCTACTGATGAAGATAAGATAAGAGTTTTTTACTCATAATCGCTTTACTTTGCTTTACTTTTTTCATTACTTTTTTTTACTCATAGTTATATTTGAGAAGGAATTTTCTGATTCAGTTGTTCTCTAGTTTCAAATGTTAGAATTCTTCATGTTAATTGAGTCCAGTGAACCACAATGGCTAAAGCAGCAGATCTCCAGGGATTGGAAATTGTTCTGGGGCCCGCACAACCAATGAAGACAGACTATCCAAGTATCCAAATACTACATAATATTTTTCTTTGCTAATTGTTATTTTTATTACCATTAGTGCTGCTTTTATTATTAATACTTTTACTTGTTGTTGGTATTCAGCATTATTGTTTATTATATCGTTATCATTACTGTTTTTTATAATATGTTTTCACCAATTATTATCTCTGTTATAAGACTAATGTTAATAATGATTACTCGTCTACTAATGATGCATGGTTAAGTTGCCCAACATTTCGTCCTTGCCCGGTGTGCTCCTTCTGTTGTCGGTCACTTTCTCAGCTTTTGATTTAAAGTCGAAAAAAAGTAGTAAGGTAGAGCTCATAGTTATATTCGAGAAGGAATTTTCTGGTTCAGTTTTTCTCTAGTTTCAAATGTTAGTTGTCTGTAACTAGAGCTAGTAGATGCTTGTTTCTACGTCTACCGTGCTTCTAATCGAAAGTAATCTCTACCACCTTTAAGATCGAAAGTAACCGTGGCCGTTAAACCAGCACATTTTGTCAAATAAAGGTTTCTTTTCAGCATGAGTGTTCTGAATAGTTGAGAAGTCATGCAAAATGGACTTCCCGCTTACTATCCACATTTTCGTTATTACGTTATGTGTAAGAATCTATTCGTAATTTTGATAAACTAGAAGGGCGTTGTGAGAAATAGCACTCAGAATGGAATTCTAAGTGATTGTTGCAGAATGTTTGGATCGTACAAGCTCAACATCCTCCACAATACACTAATGTCTACTTCAACGCGTCAAATATCACGTATGGAGTACATCGTGACCGTACTTATGTACAAACGATAGCGTTTGTTGACAAAGCATTCCCATCGTTCTTTGCAAAATATCTTCAAGGAGGGTGAGTGTAGAGATCGATAACTATTTACCTCACATAGCGATAGAGTAGAAACATTACGATCATGACTAAGTTCTGTTACAGTGTAATTGCAATGTATATATCATTGGTGATCGTCGTCGGTCGCTTAATTCGTACTTTGTTTGCAAATTCCCCAACTGATGTGATGGTGACGGAAATTCCCAATCCAGATTTCTTGTTGAAGATTTGCCTTGATATTTACCTCGTAAGAGAAGCGAAGGATTTCTGTTTAGAACAGGTAAAATAGATTTCTTAAAATTCCTTTTAGTTCTGTTAATCGAGTTTTTGTATAAACATTTTGGATAGGTCTTAATTTGGATAGAATTTTTTGTTCTGTTTCCTAGATTAGACTTGTTTGCGATATAAGTAAGGTTTTTGTGGGTTCCTTTCTTTTAGATTATAATTATACTCTTCTGGTTTCAGTTTTCTTGTTCCTTTGGTTAGTGTAAGAACTAAGCGCAGTGGTCAGAGGCGCCCTGAAACACACACGTGGAATCGATCTCAGCACCCATGCCCCACCAAGCCTTCTATCCCTCCGGGATGGGTAAATTGCTACCAGAATTGTCTGGGAGGATAGGAGTACTGGTTCGATACATCGGTAGGCCACCGCGAGTCATTGTAAAGACCAGATATGCATTCAATCACCTCCAACAATGCTTAATGAAGTCGAATGCGTGGTGCATCACTCAGGGATCGATCAACGCGGAGAGCCTTTTAGCTTTAAGACATAAACTTTCCTAGAGTGTTCTGATTTTCCTCTTTGATAATTGACAATTGGACCATTGCATTTTGTTCAGCACCTTTATCCTTAGTTTTGGCGATTTTATAACTAGCTGTAAATACAATGATGTTGATTGGTCAACACAGTTAACAGTACTTTTATTCATTATTGGTTTCTTTTTTCTATTCCTAGTGAGGTATTCGTTCACCAGAATAAATGCTTCAATTACAGGACTTATTTGCCAAACTAATATTTTTGTTCCGATCTCCTGCAACGTTGATTCAGTGGACGCGGCATAAACCGAAACGTGAATGATCAACAGATACTTCGGCAGCAGGACCGCATATTATTATAATTTCATATGATTAGGCATTATCATGTTACATTATCACTATGATGCTTTTACCCATTTTTTCACCTAACTTATTTTTTCCACGTCTTTGGTTTTAAATGTTTGCCTTTACTGTCCTTCTATAGCCATCGTTTCCGAACATTTGTTGCATATAAGATGATCTAACGCAACCCTAACCCTAAAGTTCTAATGGATCTTGAAATCGTTCTAGTTTTCTTCCCATTCCTTCACAATCCCATGAACCCATACTTGAACAGTTGAAACCCAATGCATTAATTTATATGATAATTCTCACTCACGTGTTACATTTTATACGTAATGTATGGTAAGTAATGGCCAATAACTCTTAATTCCCTTGTACCATTCATGACACTGAAAACACAATATTCACAAAACTTTTGAACTGTAACGTACTCAACTGATTAAACATGACAAATTCATGTGGTATTTCTTTCTTTTCGTAGTAGTTTGGTATCAGACATGTGTGGGAAGAACCCCCACCTTTCCGCAAGCACTGGTGTCTGGCTGCAGTTATCCTCTGGAGTAGAGCCATCCACGGATTGTAAGGAAGGTCATCTTGATCGGCGTTCAGCGAAATTCACGAAGAAAATAAAGTCCTCAGGTGGTAGCTGAGCTCACACATAGATCTGAAGACCTTCATGGATAATGGATGTGTGACAACGAAACGAATGAAGGAAGTGCTAGTATCTGCATAACGTGTGATGTGGAATAATGTAAAGAAAAGTGACACAGAGATTCAATATTGACGTTAGTATCTGCGTCATTTGGAGGTTTTTGGTTTTGGAATGCATTGCTGGTTCTCTATTGCTGATTAACGTGGTTCCTTCCAGAGTCCCATTTAAGCATATAAAAGGTTCATTCTATTTAACTAATTTGGCAGCTGTGAACCGCTGTTATAGATACCGCAAGACTCATTGTATGCGTACAGTGACGTCGTTTGGCGTAGCTAAATAATTCATGTCGTTGTTGTGCTTTGATGACTGTTCGCTTAACATGAAGATGGTGAGAGTCGGTAGAGGTAGTGAGACATTACTGATACCCTAGTAAAAGGTAGGAGATACAAGATGAGTCCATTCCATGCTTCAGAAAGAAAAGTCTATGAGGCTGTTTTGATCTCACTCAGACCTCCGGATTCCCAGAATTCATCCTGAGCTAATTAAATTTCGTCCAAAAACTCCAAGACAAACGTAGGATATCTTTAGTTTTTACGCCACATTATGAACATGGGGCAGTTGTAAAAAAAATGCATATGTTTAAGGGATGATGGTTACCTACGAGGTCTTTCACTCTATTGAAGTCATTTTCTTGGAGAAGAACGAAGTAATATGAAAGATCGATGCGAGTCTACGATTATTACTGGTGGTTTTCCGCTAGAATATGGACAGACGAAGAGCGACGAAATGATTGAACACTACAGATCTGATATAGTGGGCCTGGTAGATGGTGTTGCAGCCTTTATTTACGGAAATATAATACATTAGCAATGTTTTCAGCAGACGCTCGTTGGTGCAATGCTGAAGAAAAGTAGCTCGGAAAAGGATTTCTGAAAATCGACTAGGATCCCTGAAGAAGCGAGTGGGTAATGTGGTAACGAAATATGCCACTCAGGAGGGTACGACGTGCTTGGTTGTAGCCAAAGTGGTGTTGGGGTGAAAATTGATATCATATAAATTGTTATTGAAATATCCTTAATAGGTAGAATTTTCATACTCACGAGAAATCATGCATGTATCAGTGAAAGGACCATTAATGTGTTGGCATGTTATTGATTGGACAAGTTTTTCTTTCTTAGAGCTCTTATAAAATCGTGTTAAACCATCCCTTGGTCATCACTGTAATCAGTTCCTCATCTCGATCTATTTCAATGAACTTATTCTTACTTGAAATTGATTTCCTTTTGGACCATAAAGATCCGATAGTTTCTAACTAGATTATTTATTTTTGTCCTAACTGCTAAATACGGATATCTTCTCAGCTTGAGTGACTATTGCCGCTGCAATGAAATCACTAATGTATGCCATAGTTTTATACTCAGCAACAACCACTCACTTGCAATATGACGACAAACTATTGTTGGTGCTCTGTAAGATAACCGGGATGAAATCGATTATCCACCAAGCCATGCGGAAATAAAAGAACAACAGAGAGAAAAACAAAAAAAAGAAAAAAGTTGTTGTTATCACCGGACATTATCATTATATCCACCATCAGCATCGTGTATAAAAGGGCATCACTGAGTAAGGATGCCTCATTCGAGGAGATGGCTCACTGAAGAAGACCTGACTCGACACGAAGGCGAAGCTGCCACGTCGAGACGAATAACAAACGAGGACCATCGACTCGGATCATCGGCTCTGAGGAAGACGAAGACGTCGAAACGTTACCCGAAAATAAACATCATTATCAACCTCGTGTAAGCTCATCAAAGAAAGAATGCAACAGAGAAAGTTGCTAAGTATAGTCATAACCACATAGATGAGCAATTGTACCGAAAACAAACTGAGTTGTACACAGTTCTTTTCAATTTAATTTTATTTATTGCATAAGAAATGTTTCAGTCGTTCCTCTCATATATCATCCTAGTCAAAACACATGTAGCGCAGTAGTTAGCTGCTTTAATTCCACGCCCTGCGCTAGCCAAGGTTACCTCATCTGTCCAGGGTTGCAAAATTGGTACGAAAAATTGCCAGGTTTAACGATGCTATCAGCAGTCACTTGTCAACGGGAATGGACTGGTGAGCACCAATTGGCATTAAGGCTAGTTAAACTGAAGCTGGGCTATCAGATTTCTCGGTAAAGAAGAAAAACTGAGACCTGATACAACAGTAGGCCTCTTCCCGTAATTTTATAGCACGAATACGTGTTGAACCACATCTTCGTTGCTACAAATGGTACAGCGTTTAGGGATTGACCAACACCGGTACATGTTTAGCACTATAGTGACTTTAGCTATATATTTTTTATTCAACTTACCATTGACCTGAATAAATTCGTCATATAAAAAAGCGTTAAGCATAGCTCAATCCATGAGGTATTTGCCGCGCATTCGACTTCATTAAGCATCGTTAGTGCTGATTGAATACAGCTGGCCGAGACAATGACTCGTGATGGCCTATCGGTGTATCATGTCAGTGCTGCTATCCTTCTAGACAGTCTAGCACTATTTTACCTATCCGAGGGAATGGAATGTCTATTGAGGGCGAGAAACGAGATCGAACCAACGATTGGATGCGTATTTCAGGGCACTTCTGACCGCTGTACTTCACTCGCCATAATTCGTCAAGTAGCAAATAACAAAATCGGTCAAAAACAAAAATGCTGTAAATTGAGTCAAAATATAACGATAACGAGGCAATTTTGTGACTCTGTCAGCATTACTTCACCTCGTACGACACCATAAAAAAGGATAAAGCTCTCAGCGTCGATCAAACCCCTGAGGGATGCGCCATGCGCTGGACTTCATAAGTATCGTTTGAGGTGATTAAATGCATATCTGGCCTATATACAGTCACTCTTGGTGGCCTACCGATGTATCGAGCCAGTGCTGCTATCCTCCCAGACAAGTCTGGTATCAATTGGCCGACCCCGAAGGGATGGAAGGCTTGGTGGGCCATGGGCACGGGGATGGATTCCACGTGTGTGTCGTAGTGGCGACTCCAACCACTAAGCCACACGCGCTCTCGTACGACACCCTACAAGAAAAATTTGCTCCTTACGATCCTATTATAATCTGCTATTTATTGCATTTCTATATGTGAAAGTGCATTTGCCAGTCAATGCAATCTCATATAAATGAATTACTGCATAATTTATTAGAACGAAAAGCGAAAAAGCAATCGGCATTCAATCAGTAATTGCTTCTTTCATGACTGCTTTCCGTATGATGACAATCTGTATGACGCAAAATAGCTACTTCTATGTATTTTTATAGGTATTTTAAGTTAAAGTTTGTGATCAAATTCAGTGTAGATGATGGTGGTGGGTCCAAAAGTGGAACAAGAACCACCGTCTTTTCAAATGGAGTTGTCCTGACGGCTATTGAGGGATTCGGTTATCTACTTAGTATTTGCGAAGTAATAAATTACTTCTTCATATCAAGAGTTTGCTGTACTTATAAGGAAAGAGAAAGCTTAGAATTCAAGAAAAACACTTTGGTGAGATTTTTTTTTCGGTGTTCTTTAATCTTTGGCTTAGATTTGTCTTAAAATTTATGAATGATTAGTCATGAAAAAGCCATATTGCTGTTATTACAGCAGAAATGTCCAGTTTCTTGAGGATGTAGAAATCCGATGTATCATTATAAATCGAAAAGAAAAATCTTTATAAACATTCGTCTAAAAACAAGGCACGAAAATCTTATCGGTGGAATAAATGAAAACTCGAAAGGGTTTTTGCTCGGTGTTTTTGTTTCATCACATTTAAAAAAATGATAAAGGATAAAGCTCTTTTCGTTGATCAATCTCCTGAGGGTTGCACCATGCAATCGACTTCATTAACTATCGTTGGAAGTGATTGAATCTGGCTTTTACAATGACTCGCGGTGACCTACCGATGTATCAAGCCATTGCTGCTATCCTCCCAGACAAGTCTGGTACCAACTTGCTGACCCCGGAGTAATGGAAGGCTTGGTGGGCCATGGGCGCGGGGATCGATTCCACATGTGTGTTGCGGTGGCGCCTCCAACGACTGCGCCACACGCGCCCCTTCAGTGCATTTAACTGTAATAAATCAAGAATATGGTGTAACTAGTGCACTTAATGCACACGTAGTGCAGTGGTTAGAAGTGGCTTGCAATACAAACGTGGTCCTTGGTTCGATCCCGCATCCTTGGATCACTAAGTTTTCCATCACTCCAAGGTCGGCATTGGTACCAGATTTGTTTGCGAAAATAGTAACATTGACCTGATACATCGGTAGGTCACCGCAAATCACCGTGTGCCCG